CATCGTCATATATAAATATATTTACATATGTACATGTCTGTATTTAGACCTCTATAAATGCGTTTGGCATCTTTCTATTGGTGTTCTGCCCAGCAAGTCTACAATATCATAGTGTCATAAAGATTGCCTCCGTACCCTAAGAAAGGAAGTGTGCTTACAGCATAATCTAAATTGTCAAAATTTGTTGTATCAAATTTACCTGTTGATTCAAAATAATTATAAAACATCCAATTGTTCCCACAATGAAATCATACTAGTTTGCATACACCATCCCTTGTATTGTCATAAGTTTAGCTAGAAGCATGATAGGAGAAGGCTTCAAAAAGCTCTTTGAAAGACTTGTTAGGGGCTTGGTCAGCTTGAGAAACCACAAGGTGCCAGAGAAGATCAAACACATATGGATCGAACAATTAATAATTGAACTTTGTGTGCCAAGCACAGGGCTAACAAATAGGGTGTAGTTACAAATGCTGCACATTGCGATTCTTCCTTTTAGAAAAAAAAATTAATCTAATTATTTCTTCTCTTGTAGTTTATTGCTGGTAACTTATAGCATATTTGGAAAATTTAGAGAATGCAGGTCATATTTAATTTTTTAAGTACCAAAAATTATATGCCATTCTTATATAGAGCATATATTTACATCTGCATTCAGGTTTTTCTAATTTTTCTTTTCTGTTTATTTTCTTACCCTGAAGTAAGACCCTTTAGAACCCAATGTTGATCAAGAAAATCAATTAGAGTTTGTTATGTTGCAAACTCATTATCTCATTTAATCTTCATAATAATCTTGCTCACCTAGATTGAAAACAGGTCCCCTATTACACAGCCAGCTATGGTCAAAGTCAAGCTTTAAACCTAAATCCCTTTGCCTTTAGGAATTATACAACTGTCTCTTCTCTGTAGAATGTTTTTTTTTCTCTTTTGATCATTGAAAAAACTAGGAGAGACTCAGTGAAAATATGAGTACTCTTCCCATTTTGTACTTAAAAAGACTATGCTGCTCTGAAGCCATA